GGGCAGGGTTGCGATCTTGGGAGATTGGGAATACAGAGCGAGGACAAACATAGCCCCCTTACAGAACCCTAGCTTAGTTACGGGACTCAGAGTTGAAGACTCTCTATTGTCGGGGCCTAAATAATTACCTCTACTATTGTGACGGTTGCGTTTTTATGATTATAGTATAATGGGCCCCAAAACCTTATTCTAAGTATTAAGGCTCCTGCATTACAAGCCGCCCCTCCGCCGACGGAGGATGAGCATCGGCTTGGAGCATGGCTGCTTCGTGACGCGGCACGGCAAGCTGTACTGTGCGCCTTGGACTGGAGGAGGTTTCAATGCAGTGAAAAGCCCCCAAGCCCCAACCTAAGCCCTAAACTCCGAAACCCCCTACCCAACCCTGAGCCCTAAACAAATGCTTAGGAGACGGGATTCCCGAGTTTGGCTGCAAGGCTTCCTCGAGGTTGAGGCTTAGCATGAAATGTCGGGTTTGCGGCTTGGGGTGCGGGTTTAGGGCTTAGGGTTTAAAGTTAAATTTTCCGGAGTCGCCTTGAAAAGGTCGGTTATACGTAGAAGGGTGAAGATAGTACCGCTTTTCCAGGTGTCCACCTTGTGGATCCTTTTAAGGGTCTTGGAAATGAGGGCATTACTTCAGCATCGTATACTGTTTCCACACCATTATCATATGAGCAACTTGGCACAACCGTGTGTAAGTTTTACCATGGCTCTTGTCCTAGGGCGCAGACGAAGTCAGAAGCTTAGTCCCTTGTTTATTGTTGGATTTGGGGATGCTACCTGACTTTATGGTTCCAAATACAGACCGCAAGCCCATTTCCGACGTCGGCCTCCCCCTAAACCTTAAGCCATGCGTGTGCAAAGGTCGGTGGAAATGAATGGGGACAATGCATCTTGGCTGGATTTGAGATGATTCTGATAATTTTGATGCTTGAGACACTACCTCGAATCGAACAATCCAGAAAACCAAACCCGAATAATCCCTAATAGGCTTTCTCTTACTTTCAGATTGATGCAACACTGCAGTGCGTTGATGTGCGACAGCCGTCTTAAGCGGTAGCTCCAGGAGCGTAAATGGTTCCTGAAAACCAGGCCTGGGCAAGAAACATAGATTATGCAGCATCCTTGATAATGAATTCACGGCTACGGTCCTCCGCCACTCCTCCTGCTTCTGCTACTTGCGTTCTTCTTACTGTTCCTGCCGCTACTTTTGCTGCTACGCCTGAAGTGGCATCAACGCTGCTCCCGCTGCCTCATTGAGAGCACGGAGGTCGGATAGCGAGCCATAGCGTCACCCTATACTCACAATTACTGAGTACTGCACTCTACCCCCTCCCCCCAACCCTTTCCAACAGTTGCTGCGGCCCCTACTCAGCGCGTAGTTTTGAATTCCGATAAACCCAAACCCTAAACTCTACAGCCCAAGCCCTCTGCTTCCTCGGCTACTCTGCTCTGCTCCGTTGATCCATGCGCAGCCGAGGCGCGATAACGCCCCCGAAGCCAACGCCTCGGAAATCAGGTTTAGGTTTCGGGGGTTGGGGGCCGAGCGGTTCAGGGTTTTGGGGCTTCGGGTTATGGGTTTTAGGCTGACTAAGGTTGGTTCAGGGTTTTGGGGCTTCGGGTTAAGGGTTTTAGGCTGACCAAGGTTGCTTTTTGCATTTTGCGCAAGCCCAAACCCCAAACGCCTTTCTTCAAACGCATCTTGATTGACGCGCTAATGCCTCTCGCGTGAACCTAACCCCCCAGGAAACGACTATACCGAGAGTTCGCCATAAAGTCTCAGGCCCAACAAAAACAGCCATCTTAAACCTTGAGCCCAGGAACCCGAAACTGTAGATCCCACGGCTGCGCGCTCCAGGCAGAAAGGTCCTCAGTGTGCGGTGGATGAGCGCACCCATTCCGAGGCCAGGCAAGGAGTTCAAGGTTTTCTGGTTTTCGGCTCGGGGTTTTGGTGGGTGTATATAGGCTCTAGGGGTTGGAGTTTCGGGAGGTTTTTTGGGGCGTAGGGGTTTGCCGTTTTGCGCGTTTGGGGTATATGAGCGGAAGGGTTGAATCCTGAGCAAAACTTTTTGAAGCCCTATATCGACATATATATATATATATATATATATATATAGACCCGCTCAGCCGGTTTAAAGACCCACATAGAACCCCAAAGTAAACATTGAACGCCCAACTTTCAACCCTTGACCCTATAAGCTCTATACGCCAAATCCTTGACTTTCGACCCCTGAGCACCTCCCAAGCAAGCTGCCCTAAGTGTCCCCGGCGGAGGCCTGGGGGCTTCAAACTGGAGGGGTAGCTTATAGACTTATAGACTAGCATAGAATCAACCCTAACCCTAAACCTTAAACCTTGATCTGCCACAATATATGCACTTCAAGTTATCTACTACCACAGTCCAAAAAGGACAAGACCACTGATTGAGCTACTATCTTCTACTCGTAGTCTAACTAGTCTAACATAGCATCTTGTTCGCAGCTGTTGCGGCCACACCGCACATTTACTTGTACGCATGAGGATGCAGGTTTTCTTTATATTGCTTATGGCATGTCTTCGTTGGCCACAGTGCGAAGTGTTCCGAAACTTTCTCCAAGCCCGCAACCTGAAACCGTGAACCTAAAGCTGCACCTTATTCCCTATACGTTTTAGCCAAAAACATGAAGCGGTCAAGCCCTATGCCTAGCTCTAGCCCGAACGCCCAGAACCTCAAGCTAAACCCTGAAGTCCAAAACTCAACGCCCTCAATCCTACATCCCCAAAACCCAAGACCCTAAGTCCAGAACCTCTCAACAGGTAGAGTTCCCAGTGCTCGTCGAGTTTCCACCGAAGACACCGAAGATAGTCAAAGTAGAGGCACGGAGGGACCTTCGGGTTCATCAGTTTGGGGTTATCCTGGGTTTGGAGTACCATACTTGAATACTTTTTTTGGTACCTGTCCCTTAAAGGAACCATTATGAAATAAAAGTCTATACTTTTTCTCCCTGGTTACTCCAAAGTCCAGTTATTCTTGCTTGCAGTGTCTGGAGTTTACGGTTCAGGGTTTGTAGTGAGTTTCAATTTCACAACCACTGCATGCCCATGGCTTGCTTACAATAGTTGCCCCAAACGTTTTTGCAAGTCATTCTGGCTCGCTCTTCCTTTCCGCTTGTTCTCTCTGCTACGTGCGCGTCTGTCTCAGTGAGCACTAAGCCCTAAATCCCTAAATTTGTCATACGTGTCTATGCATCGTCCGCAGCGGCTGCTTGCCCAAACCCCTAAATCCCAAACCCCGAAATTAAACCCCCTAAACGCTAAAACCCTGAAATTCTGAACAACACTTTTGCCAGTCTGAGCCTCCCCCAAGCACTGGGCAGCCGGAGCCAATTGAAAGACCCTCGGAAAGGCACCAGCAGAAGGCACCCTACTGTAATGCACTGTACGCAGCTGGCACATCAGAATTTTGACTTTGGGCGCTCAGCCCTAGTGCAGTCATCTTCCAACATAGGTCGAAAGCTGATTGCTGGCCAGGTGGGCGGCCGACATACCGTTGCTCAGGATGCCAAAGGCAGCCAGTAGTTGGGTTTGGGGTTGAGGGTTTGCCGAGAGAGCCCAGTGCCCCATAATTAAGGAATATATACCTTAAGTTATAGGGGCTAAGGCCTATTGGGCTCTCTGGGTAGGTTGTTCCGACAAAGCTCGCATGGCATTGTTAGACCTTTGTCTCGGCATAGGCGGCCCTGTCAAGTTATAGTCGTCGCAGTTGTGTTGCATTAGACTCACCGTAGCAGCAGCAAATGGGTGGTTGTCAAAATTAGGGTCCCTTTTTGGGTACCCTAAAGAATAGGTGCCGTATGGTACTGGACCCAAAAAGGACCATGATTTTGACAACCGCCCAAATAAGTTGTAGTGCAGGCAAAACGAGAAGTTGAAGCACCAGATTTTTTCCAGAAAGGATTGAACTGCCATAGTATTCAGAGTTATAGAGTGGGGTTATAAGTCCCCTATTGTGGGTTGTAACTGTAGTTACCTTATCTATAACCCCACTTATAACTACCCATGAAAATCCAAGTAGGCCCTAAATAAACCCTAAACCCTTATAGAATCCCTCTAGATCCCTTTGAAGGGACCCTAGGGACCCTACTTGGAGGGTCGGGGGACTTCGTAACTGGTTATCTTAGGGACTTATAAGTACCATAACCTTAACTAGGGGCAATTAGGGTCCCTTTTAGGGCACTTATAATTAAGTCTACTTACTACCTACTTACTAAGTCCCCCGACCTCGAAGTAAACCCCACAGCCAGGAAACTGCTACGCCTTCGGGGATGATCGTCGCATCCAACTGGGCCTGGGTGACACCCGCTCGGACACTCTGCCGGAAAAGTGGTTTTGCGGTCTAGGATGTTTTTAGGGTTTCAGAGTTTAGGTCTGATTGTTATTAGGGTTTAGGAGTTGGGGTTTCAGGGTTTTGGGGGTGTTCATGGCCGACTGTGGCACAAGACTTATGGAGATTCTCCGGCATCTTAGATGTAGCGTGGCAGGGAGTTCGAACATGAGCTTTTAGCAGCTGTGTTTGCTGCTTACCTGAAGCTTTGTGTTGCCTGTCCCGTCAGACAGCCGTCCGTCCTTGCTAGGGCGGCAACGATGAACGGAGTGCCTATGGCGTTCTGCACCAGGACCATGGACAGTCATGAACACTGCTGGACTTCGTAGTGACTCGAGCTGTGTGCTTTCCTGGTGTCAGTGATCAGTTGTTGGTTGCAAGTAATGTACGGGCCTAAATACTTACCAATACCATTTTGGGGGTTCCTTTTCAATTATTTTAGAATGGGCCCCAAAACCCTATTCTAATTATTGAGGCCTCTGTAGCGCCCTGAGATCGTGGATCAAATCGAGCGCTGTGCGCGTAGAGTTGCTTCTCGAGCAGTGAGAGGAGGAAACCAGGGCAAAGAGAAACGTGTGAACAGTCCCGGGTAAATCGCAGGCGGTAGCTTTGTGAAACAACGGTTAGTGCCCTCTTCGCGATGCAGCGCGCATCGCCGCAGCGAACTTCGGGTACGGTCGTTCTCCTGGCGGTCCTTATGCTGTGGGCCTCAGCTCCTGGTAGCACGAGCTTTGTGCCAGTGCAGAGGTGTGGCACGCCGCGGCTTTGCAGCGCTCGGCCAGAAGTGACGGACTCGGCGTCTACGCTCCCGGTGCCTTCATGGTTTCCCTTTGCCGACGTGCTGAACGACTGGCTGCAGGATCTTCCTTCCCTGCCCCCTCTGCCAGCACCATCGCAGCACGTGATGTCCCGCAGCGAATATGAGGCCATGAACGACGAGCTTGCGAGCCTCAGAATTCGGCTGCAGACTGCCCGCGATCGAGAGCATAGAGCCCAGGCGGCGATGGCAGTCTTGGAGAGGGATATGGAGCAGGAGCAGCAGCATCTCGACGCGAAGATCGAGTCCCTGACCCGTGCAGCATCCCTGACATAGCAATGCCATGCCCGAGCAGAAAATATTCTGCCAGGTTGGGTGATTGCGGCGGTGTGCCAAAGAGCACCGCTGCGACATCGAGCTTGACCCTGACAGGTGTGCCAAAAAACAAGCTCAGGCGAGGTCCTCTTAATGCCAGTGCATAACATTATATGAGATTGTGACCGTTTTAGATGGTTGTGACTGTCGCGTGTCCACCAACGCGTCATTGTCAAGATTAAACACAGCTGGTTGCCGGTGTCATTCGCTTGCAGTCTTCTGCGCAGGACGCCTTGGGGGGGAAGAAGGTCAAGGGCGACATCCAGCGAGCTTACGTCTATCGTGCTTCCGACATGCTTAGGGTTGCAACTCGCGCAGTCGAGCTTCTTTATCGGTTCAGGGTTATTATTAGGAGATAGGATCCTCATCCCTGAACCCCCTACCCAAAAAAGTTTCAGGTGTTCCGGCTGGCTAAATGAGATGTATAAAGTGGCAGTGGATGCTGATCCTGAACTAAGCAGCCAGGGAGGCTTGATCCTGGACGGTCCTTAGAATAAGAATCCCGCTGCTCAGGGTCGATATTCGGTGTCCTTCTTTCCGAAACTCCCAAGTGAAGTGATCGCTGATACACCACCTCAAAGACCAAGAAGAGGACAGAGTTTTCGACAAGCTCTTACACGAGGTAGCCGTAAACCTTAACCCGCGGCCAGCTGCCTGGTCTACTGCAGGGGTGCTGGTTTGCTTAGAACCCTGTAGAACCCTAAACCCTAGTATTCCCTAAAAGCGCAAATTAGAGTAGAACCGGTTAGATGTGTGGGGTTGGGGTTTAGGGTTCAGGGCGTCTGACCCCCTACCCCGAAGATGTCTCACGGCCCTAGTCCCAAATGGGAGTTTCTGCAAAGTGGGGGCACCTTACTATGGGGTCCTTATAATAAGGATCCTACTATTTAGGGCACTATATAAGGGTCCTCTATTTTCGGAAACTCCCAATTGTAAACCAGTCCTCTGCCCGAAACCCTAAACCCCCAGCTCTCTCTCTAGGAATCGATATTTGAACCATAGTGGGGTCGTAACTCTCGTGCCGAAATCCTGGCCCCTAAATTCCAAATTCTAGTTCCTAAATTCGACATCCTACTTGGAGGGTCGGGGGACTTAGTACGTAGGTATTAAGTAGACTTATAAGTACCCTAAAAGGGACCCTAATTGGGGTTATGGTACTTATAAGTCCCTAAAATAACCAGTTACTAAGTTCCCCGACCCTCCAAGTAAATCCCAGTTCCGAAGTTGCAGTTCCTATATCCGAACTCCGAGTTCCCAAATCCGGCATCCTAGTTCCCGAAATACAGCTCCCAAATCCTGCATCTCATTTCCGAAATCCTATATAAACCCCAGTTCCGAAATCAGAAAGCTGAAAACCCTATAGTTTTTTGACCCAGCATCCGACTTCGCTGCAAAGATTAAGTTTGGGTTTGGAGTACCATACTTGAATACTTCTTTGGCACCTGTTTCCTCAAAGAAATTATGAAATGAGAGTCTATACCTTTTTCCTCCCTGGTTACTTTGAATTCAAAGTCCAGTTAAGTTTGGCCGCAAATGAAAAGGGATTGTGGAAGGGTGGGGTGATACTAAACACATTGGTGATAAGGAAAGCCTTGCGAAGCGCCGGCTCTAGCCAATCGCACACGCTAAGTCCGTAACCTTAAGCTTAAGCCCTAAACTGTATATATATATATATATATATATATAAACCTTAAATCCTAAACCCTGAACCTTATACCTTGAACCCCAAATCCTAAACGATTAGTCCTAACTACTAGAATCCAAGCCCCGGAGCCCTGGAGGTTACTACGAGGCCCATCTCCAGAGCAAGCCCATGCAGCAGGCCGGTTTAGGGGTTCAGGGTTTGGTGTTCAGTTTAGGGTTTAGGGTTTAGGGGTTTAGGGTTCAGTGTTTGGTGTTCAGTTTAGGGTTTAGGGTTTAGGGGTTTAGGGTTCGGTGTTCAGTTTAGGATTTAGGGTTTAGGGGTTTAGGGTTTGGTGTTCAGTTTAGGGTTCAGGGGTTTAGGGTTCAGGGTTTGGTGCTCTGGGTGTTTAGGGTTCAGGTTTGACGGTTTAGGGTTCAGGGCTTGGGGGTTTAAGGGTTCAGGGTGTTTAGGATTTACGGATCAGGATTTACGTGGGCCGTACGCATTTGAGATTTTGTAACTTAGGGAAGTATGATCTTCAGCTTGCTGTTTGTCTGAGCCTGTGCGTGTGGATGATGCGGGAGAGACACGGGACGGGGGCTTGTGAAGTGAGCTGTTCAATGCTTGCGAAACCTTAAGCCCCGCACACTAAATCCTAAATCCTGTGCATTGCGTACTTCTCTGGCAGGTGCCTCCCCTAGCGGTGAACCGGCCAGAGTACCCGCCAGCTTCGACTTTCGCATGTGGCGAGGACATGCGGCAAGTTCAAGCGCGGATTTCAGAGAAGAATTATGGGTTGGTGTTGGGTTTTGCTGCGGGGATTTAAAAACTGTAACTATGCGATCTGTATTAGTTATTACTTGTAGTGGGTTCTTGTTCAGAAAGTTGTTTCAAGTTTCCAGAACTGGGGTCTTTCGCACATACTAAGGCTTCCTTGTTATGGTAACTCGCATCAAGGCCCTAAACCCTAAACCCTAAACCCTAAACCCTAAACCCTAAACCCTAAACTTTATCAAGAACGCAGTATATCGGTTCTGGATCTTCCCGTCTTGCTCGGGTGGGAGAGGGCGAGGCCCGTGTTCTCGGGGTTTAGGGTTATTATTGAGGCCCCTACATTAGAGCTTAGGGTTTAGGGTTAAGGGCTTAGGGTTTACTTGGAGGGTCGAGGGACTTATAGTAAATGGTTATTTTGTAGACTTATAATTACTCTAAAAGGTACCTGAATTGGGGTTAGGATACTTACAAGTCCACAAAATAACTACCACTAAGTCCCCCGACCCTCCAAGTGGGAGTTTAGGGGGTTCCGGGGCGTGTAGATGCATGTGACGGAGGCTTTCTCAAACTTCGATGTGCCGTGGGTTTGGCCGTTATTGTCTCGAGGTTCAGGGTGTGTAAGTCATCTGCAAAACGCACTTGCATGTATCAAGACTGTTTGTTTATAAACAATATATACAGCATAGATGAAAGGATCATGGATAGTTACAATATAACTATCCATGATCCTTCAGTTCAAGCAGTTGGAGTACGAGGTGGCCGGCCTTGGCCTGTGCTGTTCTGGACCTCTTACTCTATGAAGCCCTGTAGGAGACCCGAAACAACGTTCGTGAAGGAACCCTGGCTTGGAGGAAACCTTGCAGGATCCCTGTTCGAATAATTCAGGCGGTTCGACCATGTGTGCCATACGCCCGAAACCCTAAACCCTCAAGACTCAAACCCTACATTCTACAGCCCGCTCGACCTGTTCATGTCGCATCTTTTCAAGGACTTCACGGTGGGCATCTTTCGAGATAGCCCCGACTGGTACGCAGAGCCGCTTGGCACGAGTAAGGCGTTTGGAGTTTAGGGTTGTTGAGGCTAAGGGGTTCAGGGGTTTATGGGTTATAGGGTCTAGGGTTTCAATTCCTTCCGGACCTCTAAATCGCTACCCTCCAAAATTTCGCTAGCCCCTTCCCCTTCCCCCCTATGCACTTTACTCCCCCACTCCGAATCACGAGCCCTGCGACCAGGTCTCCCAAATGCTGAAACCCTAAGGTTTATAGGGGTTGGGGCACCTGAAGTCGAATGCCTCTAGCAATCGATGCTTCTACCCTGCATTTTGGTCGTTGATGTGCAAGATTGAACATCCATGGTGTCTGCTCTCGTCTGTCTTTTGATTGTGCCGAAGACGGTTAGGTTAATAACGAAGTCCCCGGCCACTAAAGCCTGAATCCCTAATTCGTTTCAATTTGCACGATAGCCTCCAAATCCCTACTATACAGCCTCAAGCCTTTCCCAAATCCCTGAATCCGCCACTATATTGACCCCTGAAACCCTACTACTCTACTATAGACCCTGAACCTAAACCCGAAGCCCTAAACCTTAAAGCCTAAAGCCTAAACCTGTAACCTAAGCCCTAAACCCTAAGGTCTCAGATGACCAACGTGATCTTCGCTTGCGGCGAGAACGGCATCGGCCAATGCGGCCGGAGCATGGCGCAGCAGCAGCAGGCCCCCTTGAAAGATATTCATTTAGGGTTTGGGGTTTAGGGGTTTAGGATCTAAGGCTTAGGGTTTTAGGGTTTACAGGGCTTGGGGATGTTGCTTCAAGGTTTAGGGGTTTAGGGTTTTAGGTTTTAAAGATATTGCTTTACGGTTTCATCACGGGTTACATGCATCAGATCCCGCAAAATGGAGCAAAGTTTCGAAAGAGGTCAGCAGCACTATCCTTGCAAAGTCCCGATGTGTTCTTTACGGTACCCGGTTGTACCATAAATCATAGTCTAAGTAACAGGAGATGCGTGCCTTTTTGGAAGGGAGATTTTCCGCGCAATGTGTCGAGCCGGTTACGTTCGGGACGAGGAAAACACAATGTATTCCTCCCTTAAACCCTCAAGCCTGAAATCCCTGAAACTCATAGCATGAACTCCGAACGATGAACATAACAACCTTGTAGTAGGACTCTATAGTAACCCTGAACCCTAAACCCCAAGTGCCCACCTGGAATCCTTAAACCAAGGGTCCTCTTTGCAGGCTTGGGGCCAGGTGCGTCTACCCAAGCATAGCTACGTGGAGTCCGTGCGCTGCGGACAGGCATTACAGGGACCGTTGACTAGTTGGGATTCGTGGACTTAGGGCTCCTGCCGTAAATCCCGAAACGGTTTAGGGCTTAGGGTTTCTTTGGGTGTTTGAAGGCTACAGTAGAGCTGTCGCCGGGAGTTCGGTGTGAAAGTCGGGGCTTTGGGGCAGAGGTGGTGCGAGAGCTGATGCTAGATGTCAGATAACCCCTAAGCAGTTTGAGCCTTCAGTGCCTCGAAAAAATCCGCCCAAAGGTTGCATGGCAACTCTCAGGGGAGGTGGCCTCTCACCCAGTCTCGAAGCTACACTCCCCGCAACTCTGATTCGATTATCTATGTTAAAAGTCTATTATCTAGTAGTTATCTATGTCCTACGATCTATTACCTATCACCTGTAACCTCTTACTTCGCACCTAGCTATCTCTATCTGTATTTTTTTTGTATATCTCTTTTTCTCTATATCTATATGTCTTAAGACACACATATATATCTATACATGTATACGCATACTGGCGAAGCATATGAGAGCTGAGGATCCCGGAGAGGTAAGAACTTTTGCAGTGTTTCGCCTTTCGGGTTCGCCGCAGCTGGTTAGAATGGAGGAAAAGCTAGCTTTAGTAACTGGTTAGGGGCCCTAGGGTTCCCTTTAAAGGGCTCCTTTTAAAGGGGTCTATATGTGCATATAGGGGCTACTATAAGGGATCTATAAGGGTACTATAATGTCGGGGGACGTAGCAACTGCTTATTCTAGAGACTTATAAGTACCATAACCCCAACTAGGGTTCCTTTTAGGGTACTTATAAGTCTACTTACTACCTACTTACTAAGTCCCTCGACCCCCCACGTAGCTTTATGTACTTGTACAGCAAGCTGTAGTTTCGGCAATACAAGTAGCAACGGTACCGACAAAGAAAAGCACAAGTGTGGCAGCATTCGCCAGTAAGAAAGGCCCGGCAGTGTTGAAACTAAACAAAGCAAACCCAATCGTAATACACACATATGAGCATCGTGATACTGTCAACTTTTTCCATGAAACGAAGACTCGTCCACAACCTGAGAATTGACACCGTCCTTTGGCTCCTCGATGGGTGAAACCCCAAGCGCTGATCGAAGCCACCCCGCACAGGATGCCCGAACCCCAAACTCCAAAAACTCGGAACCTGGGTTACGCATCGCGGTTCGCTCCAAGACCTGAGCCTGGGAAACGCAAGGCTCACTGCCTGACGCTGCTGCGGGACGGCCAGGTGAAGCCAATTTGGGAGCAGCCAAAGACATCATGACAACTTCTCGGGGTCGTCGTCGTAGTAGCAGTGGCAGTTTCTCAGGGCCGCTGAAGGAGCGTTTCTGAAGTCCCTAAACATATCGGATTTCCTAAACCCTAAACCCTAAAGTGCAGGTCTTCGCCTGGGGAGGAAACCCACAAGGTCAGGTCGGCAACGGAGCCTTGACTGCAATAGCCAGGGTTTAGGGGTTAAAGGTTGAGGGTTTGGGGTTTTAGGATTTAGGGGTTTAGGGTTTAGGGGTTTAGGGTTTAGGACTTTTGGGTTTCGGGGTTGAGGGTTCAGGGTTTAGGGTTTCGTAGGGGTTTAGGGTTTAAGGAGTCTCGGTGGAACAAATTTTGCTTTTGAGGATGTCCTTTGCAAATTTTTGGTGCATCCAAGTTGAACCCTTCAATTGTTGTTTCAATTTGGGGCTCCCCTTTAGTTTCCCCTTGGTCTCGCTCTGCCTCCCCTGCTCTCTCTTGATCTCCCCTCACTCTCCCCTTGCTCTTCCCTCTCAAGTCAAAGTGCATTTGGTGTTCCTTTTCATTTTTGGGTGCTTCAATTTTGGTTGGAATTTTGAACCTGCACTTTCAAACTGTGCATGTCTTTACCTGTTTTTTGCTTCCAATGCTAGAACTCAAAGTTGGAACGTGGAGCCAAATCCGTTGGGGACATGACGTGTTATTCAATTTGCTTCCACTCTGGAAGAATTTCCAATTATTTGCTGTCGACATAGTCTTGTGGGAAACCAACTTTCTGTGCAAGTGAGGATTTCGTATGATGTGCATCATAATGCGCATCCCGAAACAACCAATCCGCTTCAACGCGTCATGAATCAAACCACTTTTCAAGGCATGATGGTTTGCCATGAGCATTTGTCAATCATGAGCACGAGCATGTTGTTCCTGCATGTTTTTTTATAATTATATATATATATATATATATATATACAAGGATATTTATATTCTCACATATTGCGTCTGCAGTCCGGAGAGCGCGGACTTTAAACATCATGCTCGGCCCCTTGCTTTTAAAGGCAGGGGTGACCGTCCGGCTGAGCGCGGACGTTA